AGAAGTATACAAATATATGCAATTATTAAAAAAATGAAAATAGTATTCTATAGAGCAATGAGGAAACAGAACAGGTAAAAACTGCGCCAATAATAAGACTCGTTGAGAAACAGGATAGTTAACTTTGTTAGTGACACTAAGAGTAGTCCATATTGCTTGCAAAGGCCTAGACGACATATTTTCCCTTCATTCTTTGTATTGTAATAATAGCAGAGACCTGAAGGCTGAGGATAAAGACAAGTGATTCTAGAGCGATAAGCATTCATGGAATCGACCCTTTACGGAACCACTGACAACAAACTCTGACGGGGTTAACAAAAGAAAAGGATCAATGAAAAATTAAGTTTAAATGATAGCAAGTCGAGAATTGGATGTCTAGAAATAAGATATTCACTAAGCAAAAATATACAGTTTTTAAAATACGAATTACAATTACATATAAAGATACATACGATAGTATAATGTTTATTCTAAGAAACTTGGAGTACTTCGAAAACATTTTGGTTTTTTTACATACAAAGTAGACCCGAATTTAGTATGATGAATATGAGTCCATAAAAAGCGTAGCACAATGAGTATTCGTTTGGTTAATTTATTGCACAACTCATAACAATAAAGTAGGCTGTTAGCCATAACAAGATTTGTTAAAAAGATGTCTTGCCAATAAGTGGGCTAAGTTGAGATTTTCAGGGAAGAGTAAATATGGATGTGCTGGCTACGGATCAACCTTGCGAGAGTATTATTTACAAATGGTGGCACGGCGCTTGCATATTAAAGGGGATTGTGAGTAAATATCAATAATCTTGAGTATAAGTTTGTTTGTTTGTTTATGTAAAAGATTAATCTAATTAATTTTTAGAATTTACACCGATACAACTCGATGATACAGCCTATTACAATATGAGAAAAAATATAAGTCGTAAAAAAAATCGAATTTTAGTCTGATATGAGATCTAAATTTTAGGAAAACCTCATTACTTAATTTATTTTAATGAGGAATAATTTTGGCAAAACTTGATCTTGCAGGCTTTTGATAGAAGAGAATTCTAAATATATACAATTGCTCATATATATTTAGGGGGTTTCTCGAAACAAGGGCGATAAATATGCGAGGTACATCTGAATGAAGGGAAAATTTTTGGATTAAGGACGTTAAATATTTAGTAATTAAAAGCGAGGTTTAAAAACTCAATAGGCATATTTAGTGTAGAAAAATAATGAATAAATAGCCATTTCGATTATGTGAATAAAGAGAATTGATTTGCTCAACAAACTCAGAATTAAAAACTAAGACTGAATTTGCCAAATTAAAAATTGGAGAAGTTTTACTCGAATTTACAAGTTAAGAGATGTTTCTAACAAGTTAACACAATAAATCGAACCTCATGTCTTAGTGTTAAGTTGAGAATTTTACAAGAATGGATCCTAGCCCTGATGATGTGTATTATGATGGACGAAAGCTCAGCCCGTTTTCACCCGAAAAGAGGGAGGTCTCGTGGACAGCGTCAATCTCAATGTTGTATAAAAGCCCAATGACTGCAGTTCAACGGGATTCAACCGTCCTCTTCTGGTGAGATCGACCTTCGAATCTCTTTGTTCTACTTTCATACGAAATGAAAGTCCAAGCAATAAGTTAACTAACATTTGAGGTTGCAAATGAAATTTGTTTATAAATTAACATTAGCATCAATTAAATGTTCAAAATCACTACTATCCCTGTTTCGTACATGTTATTCCGTGTCAGCACAGTCAATTATTTAAAATAAAGGTATAGAAATTTCCGTATTTTGGTTTGGTATTTTTTTGCTAACTTTTTAAATTCAATTCTAGTTATCTATAGCCATCACACTAAATGCTTTCACAATTTAAAGCCAGAATTTCCTTAACTTAAAAGTCTGATAAAGTCTATATTATAGAATTCTTGAATAATTAAAAGAAGTAAAATCGATGTTATATTTTACTGTTATAAAATCTAGATAATAAGAATAGTGTTTTACTAAAGGCGGTTCACTGATGATCTTCTATTTCTGTAAGCCATCAAGATTGGCCGAGTTAGTAAGAAAAAGATTAAGGTGAAGGAAATACAATGATAAAGTGCTGCTATAGACAATAAAAGATCGACATTGGTTCTCTTAGTTGCAAACAATCGAGGAGGCGGTTTGGAAGAGAAAAAAATCTTCGACATTAGGATTTCAGAAGAATAAACTAAAAGATAAGACTATTCAAGAATTTACTTGATCAACTTATGAATAAATAAAGCACAAATATGTTCCATGACCAGGTAAAATTCGTAAAATAATTCAAAATTAGACAAATATCTCAATGATATAAACCACAAAGTAAATGCAACTTCACCCATTATAGGTCAGTCGTAACGGCGAAATTGCAGAATTCCGTGGAAGATCTTCGCTACCAACACTGATTGAATTTACAGAACTATCTGTGCCGGTGGGGCTCCCAGTTGATGCGTTAAACATGGTGGGCTGAAAGTCCGGGTTATAGACGATCTCTAGAAGGAGGTTACGGGACAATGGTTTCTTGTATGTCTCTAACTGGTTAGCCCAGTTGAATTTGACCGTCAGTGTGGCAATTTGGTTAACCTGAAGTTTGAGCGAAAAAAAATCAAGTCCAGAAAGGAGGACGAATGAGAAGCATGAAGAAGATGGATGGAAGAATTGTCCAGGGAAGGGCGACAAAATAATAAAGGATGTCATAAATTTAAGGAAAATATTTGATTATAAATAGCATTTGAATGTGACAAAGGTAAAAATATTTAAAATAAATGCAAGTGGTTGATAGTGCAATTATAAGCCAAAATCCCAAACAGAAGCAAATCAAATTAAATTAAATTAGTTTCCAGTAAGAGTGAAAAGTATCATTTGGCAATTAATTCAAACAACCATGGAAACAGAAAAGTGAAGAAAAATATAAAGGTAATGATGCTTCACAAATGAGTAGACGGCTGGATAATATAAATAGTCTAAAGAATTCGCATAAAAACGTTCCTAGCATGCTAAGCGGCATAAATAAAATAGACAAATGTAAGTTAATGTTCAGATAAAATTGAAATGTTACATCATGAAAATCGAAAATAATAGCACTAAGAACGAGAACTGGCTGGCTTGTTTAATAAGAAAACGTTGTCACCAATTAGTGTAATGATTGGTCATAATAATTCATGCAAGGACAATTAGGATACGAGTAAGATTGTGATAATAGATGGGAGCGACGAAAGGCCAAAAGCGTTTTCGCTATTAGAAATAGTACAAGCAGTGGTTTAAAATAGTCAAGGTTAAAGTATAAAGATATATTGTAGGATTTCATGACTTTAAGCATAGAATCATATTGCATTGTATAATATAGAAAAACACTTCTTTTTAGAATGCGTCATACATATTTGTGTAAATATACATAACTGTGGGGTGTTCTGCAATAGTATTCAGCATGCTATGAAAAATAACACAACTATTGAACCAAAATGTGGTTAAGGGCAAGACTTTACCTGTCCTCTGGATGAGTTGTAGCTTGGCGTTAAAAATGGCAAAACTCAGCGATGATGTTGACGATGCAGGAAATTTTTATGTCTACTATGGCAGGTCTCAATGA